GGAAAATTACAATAAGGGGCAACCAAGTGTGTAGCCTGGCAGTTAAAGTGTGTGATAATCACGGAAGTCTAGAATTGAAATCTCATTAGAAACCAAAAACGGTTCAGTGCATGTGCTAGTGGGAGGTAGCATAGTGGGAGGTAGCAGTTAATTAGTGGAATGGAAGTTGGCTCTGACACCACCATTATAGAAAAAGAAAGTATAATATCAGTAATTTGATAAAAGAATTTTATAATCTGGTCTGACAAAGTCAACTTACTGAATCAACAGAGGGTGTAATAGCTCTTTGACTTTGATTTGATTTGCAAATTAATTGCTTGAATATAGGGACTACTCCATTTGTTTTATGATTTTGTTTTTATTAGTTTTCTTACTAATAGAAAACTGGTTAATAAACCCTGCATGAATGCGTGATGCTTCATACACCGAGCTGCCCTTCTTTAATTTTCTTACTGTGTTCTTTTTTTGTTACATCATAGGACCCCATGATGTTAGAGTTAGGATGAAAGCTGTTGGTATTTGTGGAAGTGATGTTCACTACCTCAAGGTAAAAGCGTTCTTCTGGTTCACTTCTTGATAGCTAAAGTATATATTATATTTTTGTAGTGATTTTGGGTTGATGGTGGTCTATAATCGGGTTATATCTCAATCGCCTCTGCAATGGTGGAATATGATTATTCTGTATAACGACCTAGGGAACTACGTAAAAAGAATGAAACAAGCTTGTTAAAACTTCCCTTGTTCATATTTTAATTTTTTTCTGTTATATGGATCCTTATGCATTGAAGGGAAGCCTTGGCGTAACTGGTAAAGTTGCTGCCATGTGATCAGGAGCTCACGGACTCGAGCCGTGGAAACAGCCTCTTGCAGAAATGCAGGGTAAGGCTGGTTACAATAGAGCCTTATGGTCCGGCCTTTCCTCGGGCTCCGCGCATAGCTTAGTGCACCGGGCTGCCCTTTTTTTTTAGATGGATCCTTACGCATACACCGGATACAAGTATGCATGCGGTACTGGTATGACTAGGTATCCTATCTGGTTACCATCAATCTTTTAGAATCTTTGTACTATAGTTTAGAATGTTTGTGTCTTATAAAAAATGATAGCTAGGGAGGCCTAAAGCTCTGAATAGTTGTGTTGCGGAAAAAAAAAATTACATAATGGGTGTGGTTTAATTGCTACAATCATGTATGATCATTCTTATTTGAATAACAAACTGCGAATAAGGTGTTTTGCAATCTTTTTTCTAATACTGGCTACAATACCCTTGGATTTGCTGCTAATGGGAAAACAAATTTTTTGAGTTTCAGACCTTGAGATGTGCTGATTTTGTAGTTAAAGAACCAATGGTGATCGGTCACGAATGTGCTGGGATCATAGAAGAAGTTGGTAGTGAAGTCAAGACATTGGTTCGTGGTGATCGTGTGGCACTTGAGCCCGGAATTAGTTGCTGGAGATGTGATCTTTGCAAGGAAGGCCGATATAATCTCTGCCCTGAGATGAAATTCTTTGCTACTCCCCCTGTTCATGGTTCTCTCGCAAATCAGGTATAAAGCTTACCTACTTCGACCAGTTTTCTCACGATTCAAAATTTTTTCCCTACTTTGGTACTTAAGGCTTTTTGTATATGAGGTCGGTCTTGTAAAATTAAATGCAGGGTCTGTGAAGTGATAAATATTTGGACTGTGACTAAAATGCTAATTAATTTTTGATCGCCAACAGGTAGTCCATCCTGCAGATTTATGTTTCAAGCTCCCCGATAATGTAAGTTTGGAGGAAGGAGCAATGTGTGAGCCACTTAGTGTTGGTGTTCATGCTTGTCGGCGTGCGAATGTTGGTCCTGAGACAAACATATTAGTGCTGGGAGCTGGACCAATCGGGCTCGTCTCATTGCTCGCAGCTCGTGCTTTTGGTGCCCCAAGAATTGTTATTGTCGACGTTGATGACTATCGTCTTTCTGTTGCAAAGAAGTTAGGAGCGGATGAAACTGTCAAGGTCTCAACTAATATTCAGGTCAGGATCCAAATTTCAAACTTCCTGTTGTTGATCTCTCCTACGTTTCATATGCACGCTTGAGAGTGAATACAAGAGTTAATTTCACGTATGATCACTAAACTTTATCCATTATACCAATAAAGTCACAGAACTATTTTTTGTCACATATAAAGTAATTGAACTTTAGCTACTATAACATTAAAGTAACCGAACTTTACTGATATAGTGGATAGAGTTTAGTGACCATACGTGAAACTAAACCGTGAACTCAAGATGTTGCAGGTGTTCTTTCCATTTCACTAACTGATAGTATGAACAGGATGTAGCTGCAGATATAGAAAACATTCAGAAAGCTATGGGAGCTGGAATCGACGTGAGTTTTGATTGTGCTGGCTTTAACAAAACCATGTCAACCGCTCTTGGTGCAACTCGTCCAGGAGGCAAAGTTTGCTTAGTAGGAATGGGACATCATGAGATGACTGTTCCTCTCACTCCAGCTGCTGCAAGGTACAACAACAACTATGCCTTAATCCTAATCAAGTTGGAGTCTGCTATATGACTCCTCACTGACGTTTCACTCCATTTAAGTCATCTCCGTCCAACATTATGCAAAATAAAAACCTAAATATAGGAAGTTCTAGAAGTTCTTTATATTTTCTACCAGCATATAAATTTTTGACCAGATTAAAAGGCTCTTACAAAACATAGGACTTAAAGTAAACGTACTAACGTCACTAATAGATCTTTTCCATAACTAAAACTTTTCTTAGCCTACAGTAACAATAAGCTCACGATTCTCTCGCTTCTGTATCCTTTTACTACTACACTGATTTTTTCTCAATATATGTTCAGGGAGGTTGATGTCATAGGCATATTCCGCTACAAGAATACGTGGCCTCTGTGTCTCGAGTTCTTAAGAAGTGGGAAAATCGATGTGAAACCTTTGATCACACACAGGTTTGGATTCTCTCAAAAGGAAGTTGAAGAAGCTTTTGAAACAAGTGCCGGTGGTGGTGATGCTATTAAAGTCATGTTTAATCTGTAAAAAAAAAAAATTACCAAATATTCCTGAAACCATATATCCAAAAAAGATGTTTTATGCTTCTATATACATGTTCTTTGTATCTGTTTGAGTCTTTGTTAGAACTATGCATTACTTGAAAATATTGAGACTGGTCAAATAAAGTTGGCTATTTGGCTTGAGGTGCCTACCAATGTTTGTGTTAATACATACTCCCTTCACTTCATTTTATATGGCGGGGTTCGGAATATGAAGGTCTCTTCTTGTTTTCTTTCCGTCTTCCTGAGCCGAGGGTCTATTGGAAGGGGTAATGTCTGCGTACACACTATCCTCGCCAGACCCCACTTTGTGAGATTTTACTGTGTCGTCGTTGTTGGTTCAGGGTATGAAGTTCAAGCTAAATAGTGATAGTCCCACGTTGATAGTCCCACGTAAAATGGAACAGTGGGAGAAAGTCATTAACCTGTTAGGCAAATAAATATCATAACACTGTCAAACCTCTCTATAATAACATTGCTATATAACAACCATTCTTTATAAAAGCCAAGTTTTTTATGGAACTAATTTTTATGTTATGTTAAAATATATGTTCTATTTAACAACACTTAGCTATAACAACTAAAAAGATTTGAAACAAATGAGACTGTTATAGAAAGGTTTGACTGTATTTTAGAGCCAAAGCTACATATCGATGAAATCTCCTTTAAAACTTTTAAGTACTCATATTATAAAGGAAATTGTGGACCAAAGTCCGGAAGCAAGCAATGAAAATAAGATTCCTTCACCTATAACTAGAGGTACATCCAATTTCTAAATTACAACTGACTTGCTTCCTTGCTATGCTGTTCAGACTCTCCAAAAACATTGTCACACTCGTGTCGGATACTTCAAAAATGCATTACTTTTTCAGGATTTGTCATGCACCCCATGACATTTTTAAAGAATACGAGCAACATAGTTTCCTTGAGGAAAGAAACCAAACTTCACTTATTTGTTAGGTTCAATGAACCAGGTCAAAACTTTGGAAATCTGACATTAATTAACATATTTGATGGTTTTATAGGTACAAATCCAAAATATTTTAATCTATCTGTTTCTTTCCACAGTAAAAATTATTTATTTATTATGATGCAATTTCTTGCGTATTGAACAAGTCATGAGACTTTTCTTTCTTGTTTCTGAATTTTTAACTAAATAGTTTGAATATGAAATCTTTTCTTAAACAATTACCAAACCCTTTGATAGTCAAGAAAATTAGAATAAAATAGGAAATTCCCCAGCTTCCAAGAACCTTTCCTAGCCAATCATTAGTTTCCATATCCTCAAAAGTTAAAAAATTTCTATTATCAAATTAATTTTTTTCACACTTTTATCATGTGTAATAATAGTCAAATTTACCTGCTTATAATTTTTGCCACATTGAAAACAAGTGGAAGGCCATGATTTGTGTAACAAAAGATTTGTACTAAGTACCTTCTAGCTTTGAAATTCCTACTTTGTAATCCAATATTTTTTTAAGGGGAGTCGTAACCGGTAAAGTTGCTGTCATGTGACCAGGAGGTCAAGAGTTCGAGCCGTAAAAACAGTCTCTTGCAGAAATGCAGGATAAAGCTACGTACAATAGACCCTTGTGGTCCAGCCTTTCCCCGAACCCCACACATAGCGGGAGCTTAGTGCACTGAGTTGCCCTTTCATTCAAGATTTTTTGAAGGGGAGCCGTAACTGGTAAAGTTGCTGCCACGTGACCAGGAGGTCACGTGTTCGAGCCGTGGAAACAACCTCTTGCAGAAATGCAGGGTAAGACTGCGTTATTGCGTACAATAGACCCTTGTGGTCCACCCCTTCCCCGAGCTCGGTACATAGCGGGAGGGTAAGCTTAGTGGACCGGGGTGCCTTTTCATTCAATATTTTGCTGCTTAAATTCAAAACTAGAAGCCATCAACATAGTCAAAGTAGTCTCTCCAATTGTTTACTTCCCCTTGTGATTTCAACAACAAACCAATGTTTCTTTTGATAAAAGACTATTTTCTTTGTTCTATATAAAGGGATTGTATTTCCATGTTGTTGTCACTTGTGGAATAAAAAATATGGCCAAAGTGAGTTTACTTCATCATTTCCTACTCATTTGCTTTCTTCTGCTACCAAATTTTGCATGGTCCCAAACCAAAAATGATGTGAAAATTGACTCATTACTTATAGCTGGTGATGATAAAGTATCTGCATGGATTTCTCCTTCTGGAGATTTTGCATTTGGATTTCAACAACTAGGAAATGAAGATCAATTCCTAGTTTCAATATGGTACAACAAGATTTCTGAAAAAACCATTGTTTGGTATGCAAATGGAGATAATCCAGCTCCTAAAGGATCAAGAATCGAGCTCGCTGCTGATCGCGGACTAGTCCTTACTAGTCCTGAACAACAAGAGATTTTGATTTCTGATCCATTGATTGGTACAGTTGCTTATGGTTCTATGAAAGATACAGGTAATTTTGTACTTGTCAATAAAAATTCTGAAAGTTTATGGCAAAGTTTTAATCAAAGCAAAGATACAATCTTGCCAAGTCAAGAATTTGTAGAAGGATTCAAGCTTTCTTCTCGTCGATCAGAGACTAATTCTTCGAGGGGAAGATTCTTGCTCAGAATGTTTCAAAATGGAAATATTGGAATTGCTACTGTAAACTTGCCAAGTGAGCATATAAATGAGAATTTTTACTTGCTTCGTAGTTTCGATCAATTGAATGCAACGAATTACCAGCTCAAGTTCAATGAATCAGGCCAAATTTTCCATTTAGTGAACAACAGTCAAGAGGTTGTTCTTTCAAAAGGTGAGATAGGATCATCAACAAGATTTTATCACAGAGCAACGCTTAATTTTGACGGAGTATTTACTTTGTATCAGCACCCGAAAGAGCCAAAAGGAAATGGTGTTTGGTCTGCTGTTTGGTCAATTCCAGATAATATCTGTTATAGTTTTCCTACAGAAAGAGGCAGTGGAGTGTGTGGCTATAACAGAATCTGTAGACTAAGCATAGACAAAAGACCAGATTGTCAATGCCCGCGAGCGTTTTCTTTAGTCGATCCAGAGGATGATTACAAAGGTTGCATACCGGATTTCATGCAAGATTGTGGCGACAATCAAGATAATGCAGGAAATCAGCTTGAAATGGAAACTGTGACGAATATCGATTGGCCAACGAGTGATTATGAGCTTCTGCAACCATTCGATGAAGAAAAATGCAAGAATGCTTGTTTGAATGATTGTATTTGTGCTGTTTCTGTTTTCAGAGAAAATAGTTGTTGGAAGAAGAAATTACCACTTTCAAATGGAAGAGTGGATAATAGAGTGAATTCTAAAGCATTCATCAAAAGAAGAAAAGGTAATATTGCTGTAGAAGGCCCTAATTCAAGAGAGCCAAAAAAGAAAAATCAAGATACTATTATCCTTATTATATCAGTGTTCTTAGGTAGTTCTGTTTTTGTTAATTGCTTACTTCTTGGAGTACTTTCTCTGGGATTTTTACTCGTTTATCGCAACAAAACCTCAACGTTTGATCGAAATGAAAGTTCCATGGATCAAAATTTAAGATACTTTTCTTACAAAGAGCTGTCAAAAGCTACAGAAGGGTTCAAGGAAGAACTCGGACGAGGGGCTTTTGGCATTGTATACAAAGGTATCGTAGAAATTGGAAAACCTATTCCGATAGCAGTCAAGAAACTGGATCGGATAATCCAAGATGGGGAAGAGGAATTCAAGACTGAAGTGAATGTGATAGGCCAAACTCATCACAAGAATTTAGTCCGTTTACTCGGATTTTGTGATGAAGGTCCTCATAGATTACTTGTATATGAATTCTTAAACAATGGTACATTAGCAAGTTTTCTTTTTGGTGATCTGAAGTTGACATGGAACCAAAGGACTCAAGTGGCACTCGGGATAGCTAGAGGACTCTTGTATTTGCACAACGAGTGCAGTACACAAATCATTCATTGTGACATAAAGCCTCAAAATATACTTCTTGACAACCAATACGATCCAAGAATATCGGATTTTGGATTAGCAAAGTTGTTGAGGATGGATCAAAGTGAGACTCAAACAGCAATAAGAGGAACAAAAGGATATGTTGCACCAGAATGGTTTCGAAACATGGCAATCACAGTGAAAGCAGATGTTTATAGCTTTGGTGTTTTACTCTTAGAGATCATATGTTGTAGGAGAAATGTAGACATTGAAGCTGGTGAAGACAAGGCAATATTAACTTACTGGGCTTATGATTGCTACCAAGAAGGAACAATATATCAGCTCGTCGAAAATGATTCAGACGCCATTAGTGACAGGAAAAAACTGGAGAGGTTTCTAATGGTAGCCATTTGGTGCATTCAAGAAGATCCTTCTTTAAGGCCAACTATGAAAAAGATTGTTCTAATGCTTGAAGAAATTGTTGAAGTGCCTTCTCCTCCATGCCCAAATCCTTTTAGGACAGAAAATTCTCTTCTAGACGCCGTATAATAGATTTTTTCGAGCTTCTTCTTCTCTGCTACCCATCAAGAGCTATAGATTTTAGAACTATAAGTTAGCCCCTTTTTTCCTTGGTAGTATTTCTCCGGGAAGGGGCAGACTTATAGGCTTATATATGGGGAACGTGAACCCATGGTTTTTCCGCCAAACTAGGTATTTTATGTACATATTTTCTAGAATTGATATAATATTATCTGCCGGCACCCTTGCTCCAAAGAGGCTAAATGGTGTACTTAGTTGAATACTGAGTTATTTACTGATAGTTTATATGAGTCTACCAAACTATAGAGTCTACCAAACTATATGAGTTTCTACTGAAAATACTAATAAAACAGGAAGTAAATAAGACAGGGAGTTTTACGTGGAAAAATCCCTGCTCAAGGGGATAAAAAACCACGACATACACTAGTAGGATTTCAACTTCACTATGAGCAACTTTTAGATTACAATCTATGCAATCTAGGAATTAAACTCTTAATCCCTCACTAACTCGTAATACACTTATTACAAGTCACATTGCAATACACCTATTACAAAGACTTCAACTCATGACTAACTCTAGTCACGACACAAACACACAGAGTTTATGGTTTTACAAAGGAGTTCCTAAGTAACGCTTCTAGCTAAGCAGTTTAGGAATTACAATGAAGAACAATTACAAAGTTACAACTCAACTAAGGACAACAAAATACTAGATTTAGGAACTAGTCCGTAGTAGCGTTTTACTTTGTTCTTGAGGCTCTTGAGAATTAGATTCACTATCTCTGAAGGCTTGAATGCTTGAAGTGAATTCTCAAGTGTTCAAGTGATGTTTTGTTGTAATACTCTTTTTAATACACCTTTGATGACATCACTTGAATGATGTAAGCACTTGGTTGGTCAAAAGGACAAGTGACTGCAAAACTGCTGCACTATGTGCACTGTTTATGTGGCAGTCACTTTTCAGTTGTGCACAGTTGACTTTCGTACTGCTGCCAGGGAAACACAAGGGATCAGGTCCCTGTCTTGTTTCTCTATTTTCTATACTTGCAGCAGTTCACATTAGCTGGAGTCCTGTCTGGAATCCGTTCATTAGCAATGTAAACCAAGTGTGTTAGGTTCCCTATCTGGTTCTTGACAGTAAGTTTGTTAGATCATCAAAACATAAGGCAAAGACATTGAAAACCCATCATTTACCTAAAGGAAAAAGGATCAATTCCCACTTATTACTTTCTTTATAAAATTTTAGATCCGTCTCTGGTTTCGTGCATAGTATAAATGTAGAGTTTACTGAATACTATTGTGATCATAAAAGTTGAATCACTTGTTTGATCTTCTTCTATTACACACAACATAAATGGGATTGATAAAAGCGATAAAAACGTAGTTCTTCTAATTACATGTGCATATACTAGCACAATTATACTACTTGTAGGATTGCTTAGAAATTGATAAATCTGTAGATCTGATATTTTTAGACTTTGAAATGTTATTCAATTAGGCAATATGCTGCAATGATAATGACAATCATTAGTATATGGCTGATAATGCCACCAACAAGTCCTTCGTAGTACTCCATCTGAGCAATCTGTATCAGAACTGCATTCTCTGTCACAAGTCCACTTAAAAAAGTCATTTGGAATTAATGTCATTTTTATCATTGATATAGATAGCGGCAAGCTAGCTCCCATTGCCATTGCTTTCATCTCTGAGGTTTGAGTCAAATCAACTGCATAATATTTTGATATAACCAACGTCAAGTTTAATTATCATATATACATGTCTATGTAATGCTCTTTTGTAATAACAACAACAAACTCAATGTAACATAACAAGTGAGATGTGGGGTTTTGGGAGCAGTGGCAGAGGCAGAGGCAGGATTTCCATAAATCCAAAATATAAGTGAAATATATGTACATAAATCCGAAATATATGTACGGCCCCCTAAATCTTCCCCTGTTGAGGAGGATCGTATGTACGTAGGGCTTTGCCCTACCATGTAAAGGTAGAGAGGCTGTTTCAGGTAGACTCTCGGCTCAAAATATGAAAAAAGAAATAGCGACAACAAACATTAACAACAACAAGATACTAGAGAAACAAACTAGATTTTATCTTATATGTACGGTATAATTTTCCGGCCATAGGGGGTTCAGTGAACCCCCTTCCGGCCCCCTAAATTCGTCCCTGCTAAGGAGGATAGTATGTACGCAGGGCTTACCCCTACCACAGTGAAGGTAGATAGGCTATTTTAGGTAGACTCTCAGCTTAAAGAAAAATGAAAAAAGAAGCAGTGACAACAAACATTAACAACAACAAGATACTAAGATAACCGAAGCAAAAGAAATAACAGTAATAAAAATCAAAGAATAAGATCTTTTCTAACGAGAACAAAAAAAGAGAGAGGAAAAAGACGGAGAAGAGTAAGTCATTACCAACAGTTGCTGTAACGAGAATGGAGAAGAAGATAGCAAACCTAAGTAAAGAACTTTTTATAGCCATGTCAATAATGCTATAAGTTTGAAGATGTAGTAGAAGAGTATGGTGATTCCTTACTAGCTAAAATAATATTTATAAGCAAATTGTGAATATTATAGGCTAGTGATACTGATATTGACCTTTCACTTTAATATACAATAGTGGTTTATACTTAATAATATTATAAATTAATTAAAGAGTTACCAAATATTTCTAAAGGATGAATATATGCTCCATCAATAACTTTCTTTATTATTATTTTTCTTAACTCGACGTAGAGATATTTGACTATCGTATATACATATGTCTTTGCTTACAAAGCAAAGGCAAAGATTGGATTCTTGAAATCGGGAGCAGTACTGATACATCCCAGCCACATCAAAACAAAAGAAACAAAGATATCTGCCAAGTCATAAAACAAAAATAGACAATCCAGAAACTGGTCACTGAAAGGGTTGCTTAAGGGGCACTAGGAATAGAGGGCTTGGAAGCTGCAACAAGAGTTTGGAGGGGAATTTGCCGACTTTTGCTCATGGAGCAGTTCTGCTTTCAGGTTCTCCACTATTGCCCTGAGATCAGCATTTTCTTTTGTCAAACGAACTACTTCCTCATTTGATGCTGGGGCCCCTTGGGCCTGCTGGCCTTCCAGGATAGCATTCCTAGCCTTCAACCTTTGAATCTCCTCAGTTGCATTATTTTGAGCTTTAATAAGCTGAGAGATTATTGATGTACTTCCTAACCCCCCATTTTTCTCGATGCACTCACATTCTTCCAAAGTTGTTTGAGATAAGGTTTATTTCTTGGTTCCTACCTTGCCTTGCCCCAGTGGCACCTTGAAAAACTTGAACACTTGCGTAAGTAGAAACCCATATGGAAGACCATGATTGCCATTCTTGAAGGTTGCTACCTTCTGCATAAGTTCGATCATGATGGCAGGCAAGTTCATAGGTGTAAATCCATCCAGTTGCTCCATTAGAAACAAGTCAGACCTGGAAGTCATGGACCTCCTCTCAGCACGGGGTAACAGAACTTTGTTCACCAACTCGAAGAGCAACTGATAAATAGGGAGTAATGCCTTCTTGTGAACTTGGTCACCCTTCTGATTTGCATTATCCTTCATCATAACATTTCAGAAGTTTGACCCACACTCATCTTTCATAGTAGACACACCAACAGTAAGGACTTTAAGAATATCCCCAAGCAGACTCACATCAAACACAATGTCCACCTCATTCACTAAGGCACAAATGTGGTCGGTATCAACCGGAAAGAGGCTGGCATACAAGCTTTGAACCTCATCCTCATATACCTTGGGTGCATCCATTTGGAACAGATGCACCCATCGTTGAAACTCAACCATTGCAAGGACTTGTCTCATACCAGCCATATCAGAAATTGCTGGGTCAAAAGTGCGATCCAACTAGACATTTTGGTGCCTTAATCGTTCTGAAGTAGAACTAGTTTCACTTCTCATCCTTTTCGCAGAAACAGGTTCCTTAACAAGTTCCATCTTTCTCTTGCTAGACTTCACACCACTTGATTTTGCTTTTTCCTTAGACTTGACTAACACATCCTCATCAGAAACTGAGGGTTCACTCACAACATCTTTCAATTTTGAACTGGGGGTGGTAACATTCTCCACTGAAGCGGATTGCTTCTTCTTCTGAGACCTTCTCACTAAGGAACTAGGTTCCTCTATTGTTTCCTCCTCAACTTCCACCACAGGGACATCCTTATCACACTATTTCATTGTTTTTCACCATTCTCCTCTTTTTTATCTTACTACTTTTTCTGCTCTTTTGAAGGGCAGAGTCATAAGCTACCTTTGCTTGCAACCTAGTAGTAGGTCGCTTAGTAGAAGACTTAGGAGTGATCACTAACCCTCGCTTGACTATGAACGCATCAAGAGGAATGTTGTCTTGATCTTCCTCATCGCTAGACATCATCTCAGGGACTAGAATGTCCAAGGGATCAACAGTAAAGGGAGGAGAAGGTGCAGGAGCAGAACTGGCCTGGGAGTGAGAACCCTAACCTGTTTCCTCCGGAGAGGGGTTAGGTTCCTCACAAGAGGGCCCAGTAGTTTCTGCTGGTGCAGAGTGATCACTGCAAACTCAATGCTACACTAATGTAGGAAGAGCGGGTCGCAATAGCTTTTACCCGATATGAAGGTCGGGATCGAACTCCTCAGGGCGCCAGTAGTGGAGTTGGATTGTCTGTCTATCCTAGAGATGTGTTTGTACTCCTAATGTTACTTCAAACATTTTTGGGTTTTCAAATTATAACTATTTTTGTAAAACTATTGATTAACACTAAATTATTCTACGAGAATATTGCTAAGTTGTATCTAATGGGAAGAAGGGCACTAGGGTCGTGACACTACCTAGGTGGCTAATTGACGGGTAGATGTTACTAAGGTTTGATTGATATAATTGAGGCTTATGCTATAACCGTTGCACAATTTTACCCACTCTCACACCTCTCGGTAGAGAAAGTGA